ATAATGACCTTTATCACAATATGCTAATTTTTTGAGAAGGACCTGTATACGTATATAGACATACATATACATATATTTATTTATTTATTTATTTATTTATTTATTTATTAGGGGTGCACCGATAACTCGGCAGCCACAATTTCCTTAATTTTGGGAAATCGGAAATCTGCTGATACTTGCATGAGAAACCAATTTTACAGATTTTTTTAGTTTTACCAACAATTGTCTGAACTTCATTTATATTTCAGAGCACTACCTCATGGCCAGTTAAAAGAAGTTTGTATTGTTTCTAAGATATTGTTCAAGGGAATGTTTTTCAATAAAATAAGATGGGAAAATTGAAGGTTCATTGTGACCTTATAACACCTGACAGTGTCGCTTATAAAACAAGATCGGTATCGGCCAAAATCGGAATCGGACTTTTTAGAGATCAGTGATCGGACAGAAAACTGCAATCGGTGCACCCCTAATATATGTTTATATATGTATATACACACACACAAACAGGTGCATCTAAATTAGTTAGGATATCATGAAAACAATTTTTGTCAATCATTTTAGAAAGTGAAACTTGTATAGATTCAGTGCACGTGAAGTTAAATATTTTAAGCCCTTATTTCTTGTAATTTTGATTATTCTAACTTACAAATAATGAAAATCTAAAACTGAATGTCTCTGAAAATTAGAATATTCCTCAGCCAGTGTCTGGTTCCTTTGTCAGTGTGGGCCGGTGCCGAGTCCTGCTGGAAAATGAAACCAGCTTCTTGTTGAAGCTCGTCATCAGAAGGAAGCATGAAGTCTCTAAAATGTCCTGCTAGATGCTGCGTGGACTGTGGACTTCAGAAAATACAGTGGACCAACACCAGCAGAGGATATGCCCCCAAACCATCACTGACTGTGGAAACTTCACTCTGGACTTCAACAGCGTGGATTCTGGACCTCTCCGTTCTTCCTCCAGACTCTGGGAGCTTGATTTACAAATTACATGAAAATGTCCTTTCATCTGAAGAGGACATTGGACCACTGAGAGACAGTCCAGTTCTTTGTCTCCTCAGCAGGTAAGACACTTCTGACGTCTGGTTCAGGAGTGGCTGGACTTGAGGAATGAGACATTTGTAGCTCATGTCCAGGAGTTAATCAGCGGATCAGGGTGAGACACCAGGAGTTTACAACGTTGAAGCTCTTCACAATATTCTAATTTTATGAGACACAAAATGTAGGTTTTTCATTATTTGTAACTAATCAAAAAAATTAGAAGAAATAAAGGCTTGAAATATTTCACTCTAGTGTAATGTAATGTATGAGTTTCACTTTCTGAAGTGACTGACAAAAAAATGGAACTATTTTACAACAATCTAATTTATTTTAGATGCACCTGTTTATGGTGTCGGGCATCTTGGATTTTGTTGTGGCAGCTCAATTTTCAAAGGAATGTTCTTTCATCAATATGTAGCCACACACCTCAATGGATGTAGGTACCTCAGTTTTTTCAAGTTGTCATGCGGCGGACTGATGGAGGTATTTTTTAGTTCCCCCTCTTTGCTCTGCAACAGAGGACAATAAATCCCTAAAGCATCTGAAAATTTAAATGCCAACAATTATTTAACTATTTAACACCCAATGTGGCACACTGGGTGTTAAATATGTCAAGTGTAGGCTGAACTTTTATTATCATGATCCTGAAAATTTTGTGTTGAAATTTCGTTTAAATTTTGAAGAACTATGACGACCTACACATTTTGACGACACGTTCTGATTTTTTTTTTCTGTCTAGTGCATGAACAAGATCGGTGAAAAGGTTTCTCTAAACAGTTGTGTGAAAGTCCCGTTCTCTAAGTGACCTTGTGTTTCTGACTGGTTGTTTTGTGGTGCCTGTTGGTACCTCAACCAAAACTTGACATCTAGTTCATTTGGAATGTCACAGATCAATAATTGATTAAAAATATATATTTCCTGGATCAGTTGGGACACGCCCCTAACTCCTCATCATTGGTCAGAACACTCCTGTTACTCCTTGTTGTTGCTCCTTGTTGTTACTCCTTGTTGTTGCTCCTTGTTGTTGCTCCTTGTCGTCAGTCAGAACACCCATAACTGTTTCTTGTCCTTCCTCAGCGGTGGCTGGAAGCAGATGACCTGCCACAGGAGCTGTACCATCACCTGGCAGTCTACATACCCAGAGTCTTTTGCTTGGGGCCGAGTGGCGGCAGCTGCAGGGAGGAGCAGAGAGAGGAGCAGAGAGAGGAGTTGGCCTGTCAGCTCCTTCTACTTGCTCCTCTGGAGTGGCTCTTGGTGGGGGAGGAGCCAGCGACTGGTTTGGCGCAACTGCAGGAAAAAAACCATCCATCATTGCTGTGTGGCCATGTGTTCAAGGTGGGAGAGCCCACCTACTCCTGCAGGTAACTGATACACCTGTACAGGTTACACACACACATGCACACCAGGGCTTGGTATCAAGTAAATCTGAGATGGTGCAACAAAGATTAGAAATATAGAGTATAAATTTTGATATTTTTAAAGCTGTCGACATCTAATTCACTGGTTCAGCGTTTCCTACCTTCTTTAAATAGAAGCTTACTCTCCCTCCCATTCTGAAGACCCAGGCAGACCTGGCCTCCACTCCCAGTCACCTGGAAAACTGGTCAACTCTGTGTTTGTGCTTCTAAAGCGAGGGAACAAACAGATATGAAGCATTTAGAAATGAGCAACATGTTTCCTCATCTTTCATCTGTGAGTGGTTTGGATTTAACAAGGACGACTTTTAACAGCCGGCTAAAATACAGGAACTGGTTTGACTTTTTCTCATGGGAGATCTTGGCCTTCCTGTGTTAGGAAGTTTAAAGAAGTCCGTTCATCCCCATCAGAATTACTCTGGACTGTTTGAAAACTATTTGCTTGATGGGCATCAATATTGTTTTAGAGAAAACTAGTGGCTGCCTGTGCTGCGTGATGATTCAGAGACTCATGCTAACGTAGCTGATGGACACCATGTTAGAAGAAAGTCATGAACAAAGGGTCAGAGGGACTTGTTGGTCTGATGATGAACAGAGAATTGGAGAATAGTTTTGCTAATTAATGCTGTCATTAGATGAGAAGGTTCGCTATACAAAAAAAAAGTAGTTGTTTAATCTGGATGTAAATCTTGGTTATAAAACCAAGCTTCTCGTAGACAGTTTAAAAAGCTTGGAATTACACACACTCCATTTTTGAATTGAGACCGTCTCCCGAATGGGAAGCAAAACGTTTTCAACTACAAAGAAATCCAGTTGTTTTTGATATTTTTATTTTATTTACTATGTCCTGGAGGACTGAGAATCTACACCAGCATACTCACACTATCATTGTTTGACGATATCTTTAATTTTATTCTGAAGCTGTGCTAGTTTCACAGTAAGGGAACAAGATTCAGTGGATCACATCTGTAAGTCACCGTTCATCAGTGCATCAGACTTTAGCTTGAGTTAAACACCGTTACAGTGATTAAAAGAAGATTTAAAAATACCAAGGTATATATTGTACAGTGTGGTGAAACTTCCAAGTATCACAATATTAATTTCTGGACATATTCCCCAGCCCTCACACACATGCATGTACCGGTGCATGCGTCCAGGTGAAGCTGGTTCTGGGATGATGTTTTTGACTGAAACATGTCTGTGTGTACAGGGAATGTGCAGCTGACTCGACATGTGTTCTGTGTATGCAGTGTTTCCTGGGCAGTGTACACAAAGACCATCGCTACAGGGTGAACACACACACACACTAATGCACTGTAACAAAGACAATAGCACTTTGAGATTTTTGTTAATGAAAAGTGCGTTACAAATTAAATTCATTATTATTATTAATAACACACTCACAGTATAACACAGCGTAAATGACTAACACAGACAGTAACATGCACTATACCACACATGCTGTAATACCCATTGTACTTTACTGTAACTTAAACAGTAATACAAACTGTAATACACAATGTAATTTGCTGTAACACACTGTAACACACACAGTGATAAACAGCACAACTTAGCCTAACGCAGTCAGTAACACACATGTAATTAACCAACAACGACAGTAACTGTACCACATACATGGTAACTCAATGTAACTCACTGTTACACAGACGGTAACACACACTGTAACACACACAGTAACACAGACAGACTATAACTCACAATATATTTCACTGCAACATAGACAGTGACACACAGTTACACAAAATTTAACTCGCTGTACTGCAGACAATAACACACATTGTAGCACAGACACTAATTATCTGCTATACACACACACAAAGAGAGGGAGACTCATAGTGACTTGCTGTAATACACACACTAAAACTTACTGAGATCCCATTAATCCCATCCATCCATCCATCATCCATCCATCCATCATCTTTACCTGCTTCTTCCTTGTTGGGTTGCGGGGGTCACTGGTGCCCATATCCAGTCACTAAGCGAGAGATGGGGGACACCCTGGACAGGTCTCCAGCCCATCACAGGGACACGCAGAGACAAACAACCATTCACTCTCTCACTCACACCAACCAATCAGTCTAACATGCATGTTTTTGGTCTGTGGAAGAAAACCGGAGTACAGTAGTCCCTCGCTACTTTGCGGTTCGTTTTTCACGGACTCACTCTATCACGGTGTTTCAAAGTAAGATTGGGCATTACACACAATAGACTGAATGATGGATGAGCTCCACGATCAGTATGGATTTTTAAATTTAAAATAAATTATTTAGCACCTGCTCCACCTGGGTGTAGCCCACAGCTGCAGGAGAAGCTTCTTCCTGCAGCATGTCATATCCCTGCTCTGGAGCGGAGAAGTGGACGTGACCGAAACCGCTGGCAGGGAGGAAGGAAGCTGAAATCATGATATTCTGTGCTCTTTTAGAGCGTTTAAAGTTTAGTAACATTGTTTAGAATATTGCAAGAGTGGGAAGGGTTTAAAATACCTTATATATATATATATATATATATATATATATATATATATATATATATACTAAAATAAACTTACTTCTTACTACTTGTACTACTATTGCTTCAGGGTACGAATCCCCCGCGATAAACGAGGGACTATTGTACCCTAGAAAACCCACACATGCACAGAGAGAACATTCATTCAACCTTTATTTAAACAGGTTAATCCCATTAAGCCTCGAGGACTCCTTTACAAGAGAGACCTGATTTCAACAAAGTGATGACAACAATGGACAACAGCAACAACAATAGACAATTATAAAAGAGGCATACAGATTATTATTTTTTGCATACTCCACTCAGAAAGGCCCTCGGGCCTGGATTTGAACCGGCGACCTTCATTCTGAGAGGCAACGGCTCTACCAACTGAGCCACCATGCCACCCTAACTTACTGAAACCTTCACCGTAAAACAGAAAATAACTTACTGGGACGCACAGTGCAGCCCCCAAGACTTTACTGCACACTGAACACAATCAATAACACTTACAATGTAACTTACTGTGAAACAGATGGTACACACACTGTAACACACTGGACCATATTCACTTTAACATGCCACACACAGTGTCACAGACTGTAACACACACTTCTTCGTTCTAAAACACACACACACACAAACACACACGCACTGTGACAAACAAAGTAACTCACTGTAATTCTCACCTAAGTCTAGTAAGAAAAACTAGCACACACACTAGCACTCAGTGTAACTCACACACTGTAAGAACTGTAAGACAGGCAGTACCGTGCATCATCATCAAACACATGCTATAACATACAGGAGCACACACACTGTCACACACAGTGTAACTCACTGTAAAACAGGCAAGTGTTTATTGCAGGGAATGTGATGCTGAGGATGCTTTCATGTGTTTTTAGATGACAACGTCAGGAGGTGGAGGTTTCTGTGACTGTGGAGATCCTGAAGCTTGGAAGATAGGTCCGTGCTGTCAGAAACACACACCTGCAGACGGCAGCAGAGACGACGAGGTGAGTCTGACTGTTTCAGTCCACTGAGGTTGAAGGAGATCTGTCCCCAGAACTGGGTCCAGCTGTGAGTAAAGATATTAATAATGAGCTGAATCTTTAGATGTTTTTAATTTAGGTGAATTTGAATCTCAGAGTCCATTCCCTCAGCAGCGTATGCCCCAAGTTGTTAATGTTTAACACCCTGCCATTTGTTTTCCAGGATCCTGTAGCCCAGCTGCCTCCTGACATGGTTTCCAGGGCATACAGCATCTTTTTCATCATCCTGAAGTATGCTGTGGACATGTTGACCTGGGAGAAGGAGGATCAGCTTCCTGTCGGCCTGGAGCCACCGTACGCACACTAACACACACAGTGACAAACTCAGGAAGAATACGCGCTTCTCAATGTAGCTGACCGTCCACACAACTTTTTTCGCGATGAACCAGATTAACCAAGAGTGCAACGTACTGCACGTTATCAGCCTGTCGATAAATTATTTTATTATTATTGTACACGTGGAATAAAGTTCTCCATCACTGCAATGAATTTCTGTCATACGTAAACATGAAAAAGGAAAAATAAAAGTGTGTTTTGTTGTGGTCGTGTTAAAGTCATCCTATCCAATGCTGTCAACAAATAAAGAACCAGAGCCACAGTTTGACCCAATCAGATCAGGGCGGGTCGTTCTGTCCGATACACAGAGAGCCCAGAGCAGTTCTCAACTTAGAGACTGCAGGTGAGAGCACCGGTCAGCGTTTCCTGTACTATTTTTCAAGGTTGACACTCTGCTACTCTAAAGGAACACCCCCCCCCCCACCCCCACCCCCATTAAGGTGATGACATAAAGGTTATTTAATCCATTCAATTATTAAATGTCTACTGATTAAACATTTGTTTGCAGGTTACCAATTCAGTGCAGCCGAGGAAGATACCAGTGTTGATACACTATTATTACCCCCCCACCCCCACCTCCACCCACTCCTGCACCTTGCCTCTGCCCTTCCCATGGACTTCTAACTTTGGAACTCTAACTTTGTATTAATTGTTAATGTCTTGGGAGCGCCATCATCATTGTACAGATGTGCACCTTGCTCGTGTGACCAAACTCCTAGTCCTTGTGAGAAAGAGCACACAACTGCGGGAGCACGCTCAGCCTGTTTGTGTCTAGAGATAGGATGTATGGCTCTTTGAAGGGAACCAGATCTTGGTGATCTGTTTGCTTCATAGATCCTTCAATGGAGTGGTTCAGTTTTGAATGAGGTCTCTGCTACATTAATTTCTACACGATGTTTTAACAACAAGGTGTTGTGGCTGTTTTATGAACTAAACTTGATTATATTTAGAACCATACTGATACAGTGATGAGTGTAATTCAATAACTGATCAAATATGAAAAATAAATAGATTAAATTACTTCTTGAGATGAAATCCTGTAATTATAATCTCCTTCTCCTTAGGGGAGAAATCTGTCCATCTGGCAAATTAAAAAAAAATACTTTAAAATTATTTTATACTCTGCAAAAGACTTCCTGTCTATAAATTTTAAAAAATATATCTGACAACCTCTCAAGTGCAAACACTGAAATTACATAAAAGTAAAGTATAGAAAAGTTGTTCAAAACCCCTCTCTTCCTTTAGTTTGCCTGAATAAAGGTAACTTCTAGGTGTAGACAAAATTTCAGTCAAAAGATGTTTTTCTGTTTTAGAATAGAATAGAACAGAAACAGCCTTTATTTTTCCACGGATGGGACATTCAAGTGTAACAGCAGCAACCGATAAAAAGATTTCACACAAACGTTCCTAAATGTTAAAAACAATATATAAAGAAATAAGATAAACAATACCAATGATAATGTTCAATATTTGTTGGAACATTGATAAAGGACAGACTATTTACAGTACAGTATTATAGGCAGAGTGTGTGTTTTAGCAGAGGTCAGCATGTATTTAATCTTTATTTAATCCCTGTACTAATCCCTGTACAGCAATGGCCTGGACAAGCAAAGACTTTGGATAACATTTGACCTTGAATTGGGACCTTGACCTTAGAGCTAGGGTGATAAAAACTGTATGCATCACTCCATCGAGTGATGATGCATGTCTTATGAGACCGTACCATAATATGTCCACCTGTCGGCGGGTGTACAGTAGTCCCTTGTTTATCACGGGAGTTTGGGACCACGCCCCCTTCGATAAATGAAAAACCATGAAGTAGGGACACAGTAGTCCAAGTTCAAGTAAACTTTATTGTCATTACGAAATTATGTACATGAGTAGTAGTAGTAAGTAGTAGTTTATTTTAGTATTTACTGTAGTAGAAAGCAGTAGTTTATTTTAGTATTTAAATACAGGTACTGTATATATTAAAGTGTTTTAAACCCTTCCCACACTCTTGCAATGTCCCTAACAATTTTCTAAACTTTCAAAGAGCACAGCATGTCATGATCTCAGCTCTCTGCCTCCGGCTGCACTCTGCCAGCACTCTTGACCACGCCCACTTCTCCGCTGCAGAGCGGAGACATGACACGCTGCAGTGTGGGCTGTACCTGTGTGCAGTGCAGCAGGCGATAAATAATTTAAAATATTTAATTTGAAATAAAAATTGCATGCCGATCGTGCGACTCATCCATCAATCAGTCAACTGTGTGTCATGTCCAATCTTATTTTGAAAAACCGCGATAGAGCGAGTCCACGAAAAACGAGCAGTGAAGTAGCGAGGGACTACTGTACAGTCACTCCAAAACACTCCAACCACTCAGAACTGGAGCTTCTGCTTCATCCTTCATGTTAAAGAGAATCAGGATGTGTGATGTTCTGAAGGCCGGTCAGCTGGTTCCTTTGAGGGAGGTGTCAGATGAGTCACAACTGAGACTCACCTGCTTTTATTTACTTTCATCTAAAAATGGTCAGCTCTGAATCCTGCACCGATCAATCAACAACCTACATGGGCCACACATACACTGCGCAGCTTGTGAGAGTAAAAACATTTTCAGCTGTTTCCTAGAATTATTTTCTATTTTATGTCAGTCTGCCTTCAGGCCCAGGCCTCTCTCGCAAAAGAGATCTGTGATCTCAATGGGATTTGCCTGGTTAAATAAAGGTTAATAAATAAAGAGACAACTTCATAGTAACTCACTGCAGTACAGTTTATTCTCTGCACTCATTCCTCCTCTGTGTGCATGTGTGTATTTCTGTGTATAAATTCAGGGAGAAAAGAGACGCCTACTACTGCATGCTGTTCAATGATGAAGTCCACACGTATGAACAGGTGATCTACACACTGCAGAAGGCGGTCAACTGCAGTCAGAAGGAAGCTGTCAGCTTTGCCACCACCGTCGACAGAGATGTCAGTATATCACTCCATACTACAGACTACCACACTCAGTACTACAGTCAGTAATACAGACTTTACCACACTCA